CGAATGAAAGGACGTTGTCATTATTATTTTTACCGTATCATTTACAGACTTCGAAAGCATTTCCCTCGATAAACCGTTGTAGCAGTATTCACTAAATTAAAATCCGCGGCGCGCGCGCGGATGTCTTTCATCAAATACATTGTGCCGAACATTACGATTTATACAGAGATAACCGGTCACGAAGTTATCCTAGAGATAAATCGGTCCGATTAGAAATCGGGCGCAATTATGCCTGTCGGAGTTCGTTAAAAATCTATTTATTGCGTTTTCGTTTTCTTGTTTTACACGGCAATTATTGCCAGCTTGTCCAATACATTCAACTAGTGTATAAAACGACGAAAGATACTAAGGAAAAAGAGAGAAAAAAAAGAAAGAAAGAAAGAAAGAAAGAAAGAAAGAAAGAAAGAGGGAAGAAGAAATTGTTATGGAATGTAGGCAACGAGATTAAGATCGAAATTCGTATTTTTATGAATAAAGTGAAATTGAGAAATTCAACGAACTGTAGATTGTAAGCGGTTTCGCTGACTGACTAACTGAGTCGCGGCGGTTCGATCGCCGGCACGCAAAAAGCACGAGAAATTATTTCTGCCGGATCCTCTCGTTTGTTTGCCGAACTAATTCGATTTGAACAATACGACCGTCCTGTAGCTTTCGAGGGTGGTGCGGATGGGGGGAGGTTTTTTCGACGCGATACACGAAATATTTGCGTGACATCGGTGCTGTAATTTTTATTTTCCATATTGACGGACAACGCGGCCCGATGGAGGGGAATCCTCGACTCGGACAAACACTCGGCTAATGATATGTAAATATGGCGGAGCTAATCAAGCGGCTGTGCCAACAGGCTGCAAGAAGAGATCAGTAGTGGCGCGCGGGCGTTCGATAACCAATGCATTTGTGCCCGGCCTGCACACACGTATCGTGGCGCAGTAACCCGCGTACATATTTAATGGTCGCACGTTAATTGCGCACTGTTTGCCCATTCCCCGTTCTACGCCCCATTCCCGTACCCACCGCCATTCTCATCACCCTTTCTATACCCGCCCTTCTCCTTTGTTAGTTTCTGCCAGAGTTTAATTTTAACCAATTTATCTCCGTCGCTCGATCGTTCATCATCGAAATCCCTGTGAAACACGGAATCACGGGGCATCCTGGATTTTTGCATCCTACAATATTGTCCCATTTCTAGACATTCTTTTTTTCACGCATACTAGCTTTAATCTAATCTAACGTTTCGAATGTTTAAGATCATCTTTATTCGAGATGGTTCAAATCTGTTTGAACAATATAAACCCTAATTACGAATAATTTTCGCAGTCGTTAGAAATGAATGTAGCGATACTTTGGTCTGAAAAGAAATGTAACGCCATTTCGTTCGAAGTAACACTTTAGCGAAAGTGGTACTTTAAAATACTTTTAAGGTACAAAGGGTTAAAGAAATAGAAATTGGAGTTTCGAAGATGAAATCGCCGCGGCGGAGTTTACCCCTTGGATGTTGTTTCTGTAGTTCAGCGTGTGGTCGCCAGATGGACAGATATCGTTGGGGGACATTTTTATACGACGCGAATTCAAATCGAAATTGAGTTAACGCCTCTTGCGCGGGTCGGACGGTGTTCCCTTCCTACGATCGATTGAATTGGAACTTCGTAATAGAATGCGTGCGTTGAAATATAACCGTCTTAAGCGTCATCGATCAGGAAGCCACTGCGGACAGCCATTGCGCTGAGCCGGGAAACTCGAATCGCCGATATTGACAAAGGTATTTGGATTTTGCTTCTCGCTACCCGTTGGATTTACCTTGCAGCTTTCATTTCATTTTATAAACGGATTAATTAATATTCTGCCAATTATAAACAACCTGGAGGGGAGAAATTTATCAAGATCATCCAAACGACGAGTGCAAATTGGTTTTAATTACGTCCCTTTATATAATCTATTGTTTACCATTATTATCATGGCCATAGCGCTTAACGTGCGAACGCCCGGAATAGAAAATGTTTTTTCGTACATTTTATGTTCGCTATTTTCTCTGCTAAAACTATCTAAATATATCGTGTTATTTATTCAATTTAATTTGATACTCGACGCGAAATTATTTCTAGACAATAACTTGTTGATTCTCGTTCCGCGTCCATGTTTACTCTAAAAATATTTATACGAAAATATTTTCTTCCGAATCAATTTCGTCCGTCAGCAAACACTCTCTGTTTACCCTAACCATCACGTCTGACCAACTTCCGATGTAACTAGCACTGATCCAATCTAAATTCGCCGCGCTACTTTCACTATCTCCGGGTGAACAAGTTACGGACGATCTTCGAATATCGACTCCCATTTCCCGTGTTGGGGTGGTACATTCTATTTGACATAGGAAATAATGGCGGAAAGGCAGTTTATTCGCAGTTTTCTCTCTGACGAGCAGACGATGCCACTCAGCTAAACCGCAATCCAGGAAAGCGTTACCGATTTCCCGCTCAATTCAATTCCCTTGTAGCGACGAATTGTTTAAACGTTGGAACACGCAAATAAATCTGTTGTGCAAAATAACCTTGACACGAAGCCACCGTTGCATGGGGTGTAATCGTAGTTCTCATCTTTGCGATAGCAAATGATTTCTTCCGAGTTTCCACATTTATGAATGAAAGGTTCCGAACACTTTGTTCAATTCAGCGGTAATAAGTAAAGGGTTTCACGTCGCATTGTGCTCGTCGGAAAAAAAAGAACGTAACGAGTTCTTGAACAGAATCGGCACGGTTCACAGGATTTTCGCGTGGCGAGATTTACTCGCATTTATCGCGTTCCATTACTGTCGCTGGACGATTCAGTCGCCATCAACAGCATCCGCCAGCCTCAATTAAAAGCCTTTCATCGTCGCACCGAAATTGATATCGGGAAACAAAAACGCCAATTCCAGTCGTCTACGTCGCGTGTAACGCGTACCCACCGGCACACATGCACACGCGATGACCCACCGGTGTCGCGTGTGTCACTCGCGTTCTTGTATACCCGCCGGCGCACGCTGGTCTTGAAAGTGTTAATTGACCGTTGTCGGTCATTACACGGTTGATCGCAATTACACACCGCAGTTTCACGAACGGACGTCCTGCTTTCTAACGAATTAAAATTGCACCGCTCGCGAAGTAACCGCCGTCGTTCGTGTTGCCAACCCAGAACACGTCCCCGCGGGAATGTAGATAATAGATTTTACAAAACCCACGGAAATTTGGATTCGCCGGCGACGCGAAGATGCAATAGAAACTCTCAACCGTGAACTTCAACTTGAACAACTTCTTCGAGCTTCTCAACGCAGGTTCTTCGTCATTATTCGAAAGTTCCTTGAGCACAATTGGCTCACACGTTTCGAACATTACAATTCTAGCTCCGAACACTCCACGCACACCGGAAACGCCTAATGTCCACTATCCCTTATGCCGTATAGACATTGAATTTTCATTGTCACTTGTCGGCTCTGCTACACCGGCGCCGTCGCACGTGCACCGTCGATGACCGCGACAGTTGCAATAGCAGCGAGACGATCGCAATTTGGACGTTAACGTTTGCCGTTAAT